GGCAAGATTAAGATCCACCAGGTCTTCACCTTGTCTTCGAGGTACAAGATAGTGAAGACTACTTGGTTCATTGTTAGTGCTGAGGTAGCCTATGTACACTTTAAAGTACTGCTCACAGTCTACCAGAAATTGATCAATGTTGTCAGATGCTCTCTTAAAGGGATGGGGTTTGCAAAGTAGGTCCAGTTTGCATTGTAAGATGGCAGCATTTTCTGGCAGAAGACCCACTGGATTGGGCCATTCTTCAAAAGAGAGGTGCTGCCATTCAGTTGGGAGGCCAGGGAATAAATAGAGGGAATTATCATTGGCTACTGGACTCTCCTGAAGTGCTGCTTCTTTGTGCACAATTATTTCATCTCAGATGGTGAATTCTAGTTGGACTGCTTCTAGATCATCCTGGACTGGTTTCTTTCCAGCACCACTTCCTGAGGCCTGATCTGGTGGTGGTTGGATAGCTAGTAGCTAGCTTTCAGCTTCTGTCTATAGGTTGTGATAACTGGTAGGCTGAGGGTTGGGTCAACTGCAGGTTTGTGACAGTCAGAATGCCAATATTTATACTAAAGAGGTTGTATACAAATACTGGCTTCAGATTGATGGTGCCATATATACAGCTTGTTTCAGAGTGACAGATGATGACCAAGGCATTGGTCAGACTTTGGGTGGCAACTGATAGGCCAGCAGCTTGCTGAGCTGATCTTCCAGATGCCATTGATTGTATGTTTTTTTGGCATATGCAGTGGTGGCATGTCTTAATTTCTCCTGTTGTTCAGATGGTTTAGCAATATATAATTTTCCCATGGGAAATAATAACCAGTTATCATCATGCTATAGAAATGTTACCCTGTTCTAATATAACTCTTTGAACTCCTCCTTCCTGTTCCTTTGTATTTCCTCTCTCAGAGCTTCTTTGTCTGTGTCTTTCAGATAGAGATAAGCAGTGTCTCAGCCTTTGGGGGATACTCCACTACTCTTGCTATCCTCATCATCCTCAACTAGCTGTTCCTCATCCTTCTTGTCTGCAATGAGAGAGGCAGTGGGCTGGTCAAAGTTACTCACCTTGGCCTTGGGCAGTTGAATAGTTATTAGCAATCTGCTGCTCTGGCTGAATACTAGGCTCAGCAGTGAGGCTTGGAGAAGCTGAGACTGATGCAGCAGTGTATTCTGCTCAGGGATGACTTCTAATCTTATTGTTATACCAGTTTCTGCCTGCTGTTTGCATGACCTCCACTCTCTCACTATAGATGCAGAAGTTTTCATAGAATCACTCATTGAGGAATTGTTGAGTGACTCTACTTTTGAGAAAACCTTGAAGGACACAGATGGAAATATGGGTATTGAGAGGTACTCAAAGTCCATAGTGCCCAAGGACAGACTCATCATTCTCAAAGATAGTATCTATGCTGGAAGTATATTAGAGAGGGGGATACTCAAGAGTTTTAGGGCTGGTGGGATGGAAGTTGGCCTGCCCAGGAGGAGAGATTCCATTGTCCCCCCTGTTTCTTGCTTCATTGGTGGTAAGGACCTCATGGGGTCTGTCTGTCTATGGATCATGGTCATTGCTGATGCTAGATTCTCAGAATATGGGAGAAGAGAGTGAGAGCTCCAAATAGAGCCTGTATCAGTCTGGAGAGCCACTTCCAAGGCAAGCTGCCTCAGCCTCTTGCTGTTGCTGTCATTGTTGTCAGTTCCACTCTGCCTCTTCTGCCTCATGCTGGACTTCTGCTTGGAGAAAACTGGCAGGGTCAGAGGAATGGAGTGTTCTAACCCACTGCTCCTCCTGTAATACTGCTGTGCTATAGTTGAACAGGACATTGAGGTCCCATGTAGGAAAATATCAGTGGATGATTTCATCCTATGCTTCTTGTCTCCTTCATTCATCATTGAGCTGCTGCTCAGATGTCCTCTCCATCCCACTGCTGGTCCCAACAGAGAACTGGATCAAGACAGGGCTTCATGCTGGAGTGCTATAGGGAGGTGAGAGATCTGGGGAGTTATGTTGGAATCTCTGAGCCATCCTAATAGCATCAAGAGAGTCTCAGGCATGATTAGAAATCTCCTGGATTTGCAGGGCAGAGAAAGAATTGGAGAATAAGAACTGTTCAAAGAAGTCCATGGGAAGATCCTCATCCTTATGGTCAGGAATAGGGAGTGGAATCCATAGGTTTCAGAACCCTATGAGGCAAGGGTTACAGCCTTTGCCTGGTCATTGAGGGGAGTATTTATGTCTTTCTTCTTGAACATCCTCTTAATGTGAGCTGCTAGGCTCAGCCCCAGGTAGAGGGCTTGCCAGGGGCTGGTGAGATGTTTTTCAGCAGTCAGAGATATTATGTAATAGGAGGTCAGGGGTTACATTGCATAGAATTCATCAGATGTTTTGAAACTCTTGATAGTGTCTGATAGCCCAGGCAGTAACAGATTGACATCCACAGCACAGCTGTATGATCACCAATAAGCTTAAAAGAGTTCTGATGATGGAAGTGAGGAGTTTGAAGAACTTGTGGGTAAAGTTAGAGTCTGATAGGTTGATGTTGATAGAGGGCATCTGGTTTCCTTCACACTAGTTGTGCATAAGGAAAGGAGAGAAGAAGCTTTGAGCTAATTGTTAAACCCAAGTTGCACATGACTATAAACACATGATAAACTGAAGTCACTTCACACTTTGAGTGAAAATGTCAGAGTCCACTGATGTAAATATTGGTCATGGTGCAGCAAGACCTTATGACTGGCTCAAGAGTGAAATGGTATGAAGATAAACTTTAGCTCAAAGCTGGGTTTTACCAGTGAGAGTGAGCTGTCTTAAATACTGTACAAGTTGTGTCTAATTATACTACTTCCTATTGTATGTTATCAAGTCTTTTGTGCCTATTGTCCTTGGGAAATGCTACTATACATAAAAGGTTCATTGTGCATTGTCAGGCAGTGCTGTTGTGTCAAAAGACAATGACCAACTAGGCTTGTGATGACTAGGCTCAGTCTCATGGTCTTAAGCACTGATCTAGGCACTCTGACTAATCATAAATAGGAGTTACTCATAGAGAAACAGGGTAAAGGTGAAAAAATCATAACATATCTAGACTCAGTGCTTAGGACTGTGGGACTAGCTTAGTCATCACAAAGCTGAGTCCATCATTGTCTTTCAATGCAATAACACCCTTTGACAATGGACAACAACTCTTTTGTAGGTAGTAACAATGCTCAAGGACAAAGGGCATAATGACTTGGAAAGACACAATTAGTAGTAGTATATTTATCTTCACAGATGAGCAGTATATAAGTAGGCTAGCTCTTGCTGTATATTCCTCAGCTTCAAGCTAAAGTTTATTCTTCACCATTCTATCTCAAGCCAACTTGTATTGGCCTTGAGACACAATGCCACACAAACACATACAAGTGAACTTAGATATGACTGTATGAATACAATACAGCATCTACTTATCATGTGTTTTGGTCACATGTCACTTGGGCTTAACAATCTTCATATGCAGCTGAGTTCATCAGAACCATCACTGTTCCCATGGCTCTGATCCTATTGGATCCTTCATTCACATGCATGAAGATCCTGCATCCATTCAGTAAGATGCCATTGTCTGCAATGCTCTAGATGTCATTTTGCAAGCTGGCTCTACTCTCAGTTCTTGGTATACTTCTCACACAAGAGCTGACTCACCATGGTATTATACATAAGGATGCTCTTGTTAAAGTATGAAGTATTTTTCTCTGGCTGTGTCTGGTGTTGATGTTCTACTGTGCAGCATTTTGTTTCTATGCTTCTAAGTGAAACACCATCAGCTGTGAAGTAAGTGTATACTTAATGGAAGCCTTTATCTCTTTCTCCTGCAAATAAGTTATCAGTAATATATTTTCCTCAAGATAATCTCTTCTACCTCAACTCTCTGAGGAAGCCCCAACTTCCTGGAGAACTTGCCAACTTGAAACTTGCAGTTCTGGATGACATAGCTGCATTCTTCATGTTCTGATGAGATTTTACTCTTCCTGGAGACAGCCAGGCAGCCATCATGCATGTCAAACATTGTAGTGACTTAGTATTTGCTTCAGAGTTCCAAAATCACTCTATCTATACATTTGGAGGAATAATTATTTATATGTCTGAGAAACATATGGTACTATAGTTAAGTGCTTTAGATGAAAGATTGGAATTACAAATAGATTCATCTGTTACTCTAAGTGTGTAGGTTTAAATCCTGCTGGTGTTACCTTTATGTTTAGTGTCAGCTGTTTTTTTTGGGTTTTTAGCTAACCCAGCATACATATTGGAGAGCACATATATGGGTAGAGTTGCATCAAGAATTCTGGGACTCAATTCACAGGGCATCTCTGGAAACCATGCCAAAGAAGATTACAATTTCATAGACATTTTATTATGCATCATCATGTAGCATAGCTTGAGCGGGAATCTGTATTTTTTTAATCGAAAAGATGAACGAGAAGTGCTTCTACTTTGGTCACATCAATACTGCTTCGAGAGTGGGACATAGAGCACACCCAGCATTATGGACGGAAAAAGGCCTCCGAGTCATGGGGCAGTCAGGGCCTCCCTAGCAAATAGCCTGTCATGGATCCGATAATGATTGTAAAGTATCACGATGAACCTGAAGCAAGTTGAAATGGGTAGCTCATCCGACGTCAAGGCAATGCCTTCAATATACACCTTACTTGGCAGGTTATGGACTCAGAATTCATTCCCGGATTGAAATATTAAGCACCCAGTGGTGAGATAAATATTGGCCTGCCAGCTGGATATTGCAAAGGATCATGATCTAGATACGTTGTTTGTGAACTCTGTACTGGTTTTCTTGTCATCCTTCTTCACGCATCCTTACAGGCATTCTTATTGCTCCAATGTAAGTTCCTTCGATGCTTGGATTTGGTTGTTCTAAAACGTTTGCCCAACAGATATCTTCATGTTCATCTCAACTGCGTACGTAAACACCTAAAATTCGTGAACGCCATTCATTAATCAACATTGCTAGATAAAAATTTCACGCTTCCCTTTCGCGGACTCGTACCATAAACGGATCCGCCATCTGGTTCGCCAAGAAGTCGCCAGTGGATCTTTTCGAGGTATCAAGAAACTCGAAGTCGAAAAGCCGAAGCAATGTGGACCAGATAAATACCCATTCGTAGGGGACGATGCTGGCAGCAGGGCTGGACAAGATGGGGCAGATTTACCGTTGGCTGTCCTAGGAAGGTATGAGGACTTACCAATAGCGTGGTCCCGCATCGAAGGTTATGAACTCGGGAGCGGAAGGCTTGATGAATTTGCCATCGTCAGAGATGTGCCTCGCGGGATTGAATTCGTCTGCATCTGGTCCCCAGACCTGGAGGTTATGATTGTCATTGACTACTTCACCTGCGAAATTGAGCTTGAAAGGCTCACCAAAGGATCTCTCATGATTATTTTGTCCGACCATAGGACGTACGTTCCTTTTTCAATGTTGGTCTCGGGAATGGAAAGCTCAGGTACCGCTGGGAGTATATCACCGGCAGTGGCGTATCGCGCATTCTTAGGCAGGCCAGGCCACAGACGAACCGTCTCGTAGAACGCCGCCAAATGGATTACATAAGACTGTGTTAGATGACAAGAAGTTAGTTCGTCTGCACCTAGAGAAGCAAGGAGAGCACACGCCGATAATGTCGCAAAAGTGGGACCTTGGCCCGACTGTCCCAATGCGATGGTCTCTTCCCGCATTCGGTTCAGCCACTCCGGTTGCCTTGACAATTCATACAGCCCATGAGATGCTGTTCTGTGTATTGTCACGACCTCCGAACAAACATTATGTTCCGGGTGAAGACAGGATTAGTCTCTGAATGCGATTTCAGAAAGGTGGAAAAGAAATCGGTCTCTTGGCTGTCGACATCTCCAGCTAGAGCGAGAGACTTTGATCGTTCTTCGATGAGGCCGTCGATCGCTTCCCATAGGACAGATATAGTCCTTCTGAACCTGAACCAAGTTCCGTCAAGCTGTTCGTCGCATGTTAAAACGGTGTCGCAGGTGGGTCATAATGCAAGAACAAAACCTTTTCAGTTATGTACCAGTACGGATTGAATAAATGCCTGGTGGGTGTGGATTAAGCATGGGCTCAATACAAGAGAAAAACATACGCATGCGGCGGAGATCTCGTTGAGTTCGCAGATAGACGAAATCAGCTCATGAGAGTCTGTCAAGGCTTTGGGGTCCTCCTGCAGCATCGTTGTATCGAGATTAAAGTTGCTCTTGACAAAAATTGATAGCGCCAAGCGCCCGAAAGAGTCTGTGTTCAGAACGTCATTGTCGTCGGAGACACAGTTAACTGGATCGCATACCGTTCCAGTCAAACGGAAGTCGATCCTTCGTGGCGTTCACAAAAAAAGTGTCGTAGTCGGCATAAGCTTATGAATAGTCGTCAGGATTGGTAGTCGATAAAGATCTTAAGGAGCGCTACTTACATCACTCATAGCGGTAGCGAGTTGGTCTTGGAAGGACTTTACTCCAAAAATGGGTCTGAGTGGTCGTTTGGGTGAGTCAGTGCCAGAGATAGACTTACTGTATGGCCTTGCGAGAGGCTCTCCATTTTTCTCCCTCGGAAGCAACAGGCGTTCCTAACCCAGGGAACTGCTCGAATATAGATAAGGCCACTGGTCCTCTGGTGCACATTGAAATGTCATCTGATGCCATTCATCGTTAATAAAATATACGTAGATTCATATGAATAGACGATACTCTTTTTGACATGCGCAAGCCATTCAGTACGGTTTATCACAACCAGACGACCCCATCCTGGGATGGTAAAAGTTGACAAGTGACCGTAGGCCTTGTTCAAAAGTTCCATGAAGGATGTCATTCGTCGCCTGTACAGAAAAACTTGTAGTAGATTGCCAATACAGGGAAGACCGCTTGGGCCAGGGATATCATTTCGAGCTGACACCCTGACTGAACGGTTGGGATACAGGATAATAAGAAGCACGAAAGCATAGAAAAGAGATAAGGTCAAGAACATTTCTTGTGGTACACAGAGAAGAGGTAGCAGTGATGAAGAGCCAAAGCCTTTCCGTAAAGAGTTTTAACAGTTCTAGGAGGCCCTGAAAGAATGCGAGAATCAACGGGCCCAAGGTTTCTCGACCGGTGCTCCATACAGTTTTTCGGCTTCCTTCATCACTTCTTTGTGTCCATCTAGGAACTGTTAAGACATGTAGTTGACTTGAATTTAGGATACATACGTTGCTCAAACCGAATGGGCCCCTGTAATTTCAATAGCCCATCAGTCACGGCTCAATTCTACGAAGATGACAGAGAACAAACCAGTTCCTCCAAGCGATAACCCCCCGACTGGAACATGGCTCCGGGATAAAGATCGCCTTTGGTAAGGCCAAGCAGCCGATCAAAAGCATGACGCCAACCCGTTGGGATAGGATAATACCATGGATAGTGCCTTCGGCTGTGAAAAAAAAAAAAATTATATCCGCATGACGCAAAAGGATAAAACAAGCTCACACAATCGCATGAAGACGCATGAGACCATCAGAGTCTATGCTATATGGAGGATTCTCGACAACGATGTATCCCTGAGGTTTGAATCGAGGAAGCATGAAGTTTCTGACGATAAAGGCTCGAACCGCCAGAACTGTCTTGACGAAGGTCTGTGCATATTTAGACGGTGAAGGGAGCCTGGATAGACCCGAGCCTCTCAGATCTCCGTAAAGATGAGTATCAAGGCGCTCACATCATGGCATTTCGAAGCTGATCATCCAAAAGGCATAGAAACACGTCTTTGACCAACGATCTTGCACCAGGTATATTTGGCACTCGGGTGCTCATGTATTCCAGTGCCATGTTGGCGAGCTGATGACTACTCTCTGACGGGACCATATGGGTGCTTTCATATTGCTTGATCATAGAAGTCAGAGATGATAGTTCATTAAAGACACAACAGACTTACTCTGCTCCATTCCTCTAATTCACCGAGAGTCTCAGGGATCCCTTTGATGTCCATGCGCCGACCGATATCCTTCCACATGAGGAAGTTACACTTTCACGGCTTAAATTAGCGCAACGAGGCAGCAGAGTGGTGCTGGTGCCTTACGTTTGCTTCCTCCGGGCTGTACGGACGCCAATCGAAGCGTGCTACTAGACGCTAAGGAAATTATGAGTCATGGATAGCGGTAGCAGATCCGGGGCGAACCATGGGCTCCAAAATAAAGAGAGCCAGTGTATACAACATATCGTCATTTGACTACGAAGATTCTGATATCAAAAGCGCGATTGGTCACACTGGAAAGATATGCTCACGATGTTGTAGCGTCTATGCAGCCAATTCACTCGGGCAAGCGCAATATTGCCTCTCGGCCCGAGACATGGCGTAGATTTCGTTGTCGTTGGCGAATGCTCCAAGGGACAAGAGATGAAAGTGGAGATGAGCAAAGCAGTCTTAACAAACTATGGTGAATACTCTGCAGAGGTGCGGGAAATGCACTCACATCAGTAACCCTCTTCGTGAGTTTTCCTTCTGTGGAAAACTCCCCAGTTTTCAAAAGCAGAGCGGAGATGGAAGGCTTTCAACATGAATACGATTTTAAAAAAATGAGACGCATAGCAGCTTACGATCCCATATGTCTTGAGGAGTGCAACTTGAGCCCCGAGGCGCGTAAAGAAGGGCATGTCATACAACAATGCTCCCTGCAAAGCAGACTGAGCTTCAGAAGGACTAGGTTCCTTAGCGCTGGCACGGATCCTGGCTTGCACAGCATGCAGACGCCGGTACCTAAGGTAGCGAACTGTAGCAAGGTAGACAAGAAGAACAGAAGCAAGAAGTGGAATCATTATGGTCAAAAGGTGAGAGGAATCCAGTGTTGTCGAACGAGTAGTAATTGAGCAGCGGGGACGTGGTCGCCGTCAGGTATTCCAAGATTGTCCTTAACACGACGCCTGATCAATTATCAGTGACTGTCACGAAGTAATATATTCCCGCCAGGCGTTCTTGAGGCGCATTGTCTTACTGTTAGAAGGTGGTTTTCAAACTCAGCACGGCGACGGGAGTCCGGACCGGCTCTTCTGTCAGGGCTGGGATGCAGGTCTGGTTCGATTTCAATCAATCACCTCTTGATTTTCCCGAGGTTTCAGGGAAAGATTGTAACCGTGACCTTGGCTCGAGAAATTTCTTTCTCTCGTGGTTTGGGGACTTCCATGTTTGATGATGAACCAGGCACCGCAGGCAGATGGTGCTTTTGCACTCTTTGGATGCCCTGAAACACCTGGTAGTGTCTGATCACCACGAGTTTTGGTTCGGGCTGATAACCAGAGCCTTGGCATAAAACCTTCATCTGGCAGCCAATCTCACTAGAACTACACTTCCATGGACCCCCCTCGAAAACCCAGCGAGCGCTATTATACAACGTCTTTTGACTGCTTATTACTGGCACAAAATCACTATCACAACAGCAGGTAGAATTTTCGTCTCTTGTATCACTCCAAATGTCCCATTTAACCCTCATACAGTCTTCTCATTCTCTTGGACATGGCAGGAGTATGCGATCACACTTGACGATGAGGTAAATTCTTCATCGACATGTACGTAAATTGATTATTGACAATACCTTTAGATTTCTCTCATATGGGTAGGAAACCATTTGCCTCTTAATGCTTGCTCCGATATGCTGAACCAATCTCCCAGCAATCACGATGGTCCTGGATCAAGTTTCTGTTTCTCGTGGTGCCCCCTGGCTTTACTGGATCAGCTCAGGCTGCTAATCCGTGTCTAGAATCGATATCTTGTACTTTTCTCTCAGACATTTGACCTCGTTGGTATGTGCATAACCGGCGTCTATAGTTAGCTCAAGGCTCAATTTTGGGCATGAATTCAAGGGTATCTTCTTCCAAAACCATCTTATAATGTAAGGGCCCCCCGCCATCATTTTTATCCTGAATGACGACTAAAAGACCTATCGCAGTTGTACGTGCACCTTGTATCGTTTCAGACATGAAATTTCTTACCCTTTGGAATTTGGATAGTTGTGTGTATTATATGACTTCAATGATCGATTACTCGAACGGAGATCGCAGGTCTCGCATGGGTCGGATACATCACCGTCATCAACGGTACACTAAAATCATTATTGCTTGTCCATGTTTTCCACGAACTTATAATGATTTCAATTTCCCAGGAACTCTACAAGTTTTCATCGCTGATATCATCCTTATAATTCGACTTGGGGTAATATATAGTCTAAAGAAGCACATTGTAGTGCCCGTGATAGTCTTGTATATTCTCACCGTGGCCGCCAGCTCGACGGTGTTGGGAATACAGGAAAATCGTGCGACAGGTGCTCTGCAAGACTCACTGAATGCTTTCTGCAACGAATACTTATAAAAACCCTCCATAGGGACTAATGAACCGGTGCCTGGCTTCTTTCTCTGCTCCTTGACTAGTAAATTGAATATCTTACATGCTTATTGGTAAGTGTCTTCTTCTCGACGGCGTAGCTTATGCGGATTGAACTTGCAACTCGAAGGGTTCCCATAGCCGTTTTCGAATCAATAATGTTCCTCCTTTCTGCATACAGAGTAATATCAGATTTCAATGTGCCTCGGTCTTTACTTTCCCTTGTCGTCCGTGATCCGTTGTGGTACTTCGTAGTGTACGTACCGCTCCCTCTTTGCATCGTTTACCAGGCTGACTTCCAAAAGTGTCCTTACAACCGGCCTCGCTAATGCGCTGGAATACCGTTTTGCCTCTGTATGCATTCTCCATCGAACTTGTGCTTGCACTGACAACCTGATACTCCAGCCGGGGAAATACAACGTTCTTCATGGTCCAACTTCAGCTGCGTTATCGATCTCTATGTCTCGTGTGATCTTAAATCTACGCAAAACGGGGCGGCAGGAAAATCCTCCCCCAACCTTGCAGTTGTCCGTCTTGCGTTTCCAGGTAGGTCGTACTCGGGGAACTACTATAGACACGGGGGACGATGGGATGACTACGACTCAGGCAGATTGACCAATGGCAAAGTACAATACTTTCTCGAATGATGTAATTTTCATGTCAAGCTATGATGTCTAATATGTTTGTGTTTGTCCCTCCTATGGCCCTGAATGTCGATCCACAGATTGATGGACGAACATATGGACAATCTACAGCTGTCTTTTAATCACTTGTTATTTTTGCACCAGTGCTACCCTCCCCCCCGGGACTCGCCCTTCATCGTCATGTCTACCTCTACAAGGAAACCTTGTATTATGACCGGTGCACTTCGTAGTAGTCGACTCGTTGCACCAGCTCCAACAGTGCCTTCAACTCGAGTAGGGGCTTCAGCAAGAGTAGCTCCTTCATGGATAGTGGCACATCTGTCAAAGCAGCAGAGTTTCTTGTGGACAAGACAAATGACACCACATTGGCTGCCTTTGATAGATTCAGGGTGATGGCAGAGACCCAGATGGGTCAGAGGTTGAATTGATGTCCATATTTACATAAAACTTGGCACCATTTAGTCATCATCTGAGTAAGGTACTAGCCAAAAGCTTCTCCAACAAGTGACAGGACATATCATTCTTATGTATATTCAGGTCCACATGCTGGATAAAGAAGCTTACCTTTGATGGTATCCTAGAGGATAGTAGAAGCAAATTAGCAGACCAATCAAAGAAATGTGTATTTTTAGGATATATGGGATCAAACTATCATATGCTCAATCAGAGTGGCCATGCTTTTATCTCCCATATCATTTTTGATGAAGGGACTGCCCACTGCAATGAGAGAGAGAGAGAGAGACAGAAACAGAGCCACTCACATTGTCTCCATTACCATCAGCATCTCTTCCAGCTGTTATGCCTGATCCTATTCCAGCCCCAGCATGGCCTACAGAACTTGTGTTATATCATTCATGTTAGACCCAAGCATCACATGAGTTGATCTCATGATAAACCAATGCTGTATCATGTTCATACAGTTCACTGGAGTCTACTTATGGTATTTAACTCTGGTGAGGATCAAGGCTGTTGCAAGAGGCTCAAGAGGTGATGGTATAGAATAAACTTTAGCTTAAAGCTGAGTCTACTACAGTGAGAGCTACACTGCTTATATACATTTCTGGATGTGATAAATATAGTCCTACTTATTATGTCTGTTTGTGGGCTGAAATTAAAGAGTGTGTGGTACATTCATAAAACAATTAAATATTGTCTGTTGTTGAGGCATTAATTGCAGGCTATAGTATGATGGTGTGAGTCATCTGATATAGTCATGGTTACTGGTCTAGCCAGATAGGTCAAGGGTAAGTGCCCATGATTAGATAGGTGCTTGATAAAATAAGCACAGGAAAATCATAACATTATCTCCTCTTTAAGACCATCATCTCAATGGCTATAGTTCATTTCTGTCAATCATAAAAAGCAGTGATAGCATTATTGACATTCATTTATTTCTCATTGACCCATTGGTTGGATTCTGGTTTATAACCCTTCCACTTGACAAGGTAGTCTGTGATAGTGGAGGGATCTTGGCCATAATGTCCTCTGATGGAGTGGAGATGAGAGTCAAGAATGGTTTCAATTTCATATGATTCTTTTTCATCAATAAGATCTGATTCAGGAGGAGGTGGTTGTTCTTGATTAGAGAATGCTGGAGGTGTGTATAGAGAGAGAAGTATTTTATTAAATATGAGATGGATTTTCCAGCCAGTGGAAAGGGTGAGTTTATATGTGGACAGACCTATTTTTGAGATGATCAGGAATGGTTCAGTTTGTTTGTCTGCAAGTTTGCATTTTGGATAAGGCAGATGGAGATTCATGGTATCCAGCCATACTTTGTCACCAGTGGTATAAGCTATAGCAGTGTGCTTGTATTTGTCATACTATGTTTTCATTGCAGCTGCTGCCTTTTCAAGGGTGGTATAAGTTTCTTTGTGGATTTGCACTATATAGTCAGCAAATGACATGGAGGCCAGAGTCTGTGTGATCCATTAGTCTGTGGTGGCAATTCTTGGGTGTTGCCTATAGTTAACAAAGAAGGAGATTTTGCCAGTGGCAGAGTGTACATGATTGTTATGCTGAAATGCAGCAAGTGCAAGCTATTCCATCCAGTTGTTGTTATGATTTTTCCATCTTTTATTATTTTTCAGATCTTATCTTATCAAAGCATCCATCTTATCTAGAGCATCTACCTGCAGGCATGGGAAAGATTATATAATAACAACAGCTAGGCAGTGCCTATTGTACTTAGTCACCTTGCCCATGAACAATTCCTCATTGTTTACTCCCTGATGATCAGGCAGAATAAGTAGCATAGCACAGCACAGTACAATAGGCAGTAGTTATATTTATTATGACCCAGACAGTATATAAGTAAGATAGCTCTTGCTGTAGTAGCTTCAGCTTTGAGCTATAAGTTTATCTCACACTATCTTCTCTTGATTCCAAGCCTGTCTCTGGCCTTGAAGCACTTCATCTATCAGAGCACATTTAGTAAACTCTAGCATGACTGTACAAACACAATACAGTGCTAGTTTATCACATGTTCAGATCATGTGCCAGTTAGGTCTAACAGTTGTCTTATCAATAATTGACAAACATTCAGAGATATTTTTCAATCTTCTGGTTGACTTGTTTGGCCTGCCCATCAGTTTGTGGGTGATATGTGGTGGACATGTTGCTCTTGATCTGCAGCAGGTGATATAGATCCATCATGAACTTGGAGACAAATTGGGGTCCACAGCCTGAAATGATGATCTGAGGAATGCCATGTTTAGCATATACATTGTCACATAGAATTTTTGCCCATTCTTCTGATGATAGTTTGGTGGAACATGCTACTAGGATGATTTCTCTTGAGAAGTGGTCCATGATGACTATGATAGTGTCAAAGCTATGGCATTCTGATAGTCCTGTGATCATGTCTATTAAGATATGTGTCCATAGCTCTGTTGGTATCTCATTTGGATGTAGAGATGCTGCTTTTGCTTGTGTACTCAACTTGGTTTGCTGACAAGTTTTGCATGCCTTTATATACCTCTCTACTTCACTCTTCAGTTTGAGCCACCAGTATTCTCATAGAATAAGTTCTATGGTTTTGGCAATCCCAGAGTGCCCTGCAGTAATATGGTTATGAAACTGGGTGATAATTTCATCATAGAGCATATAATCTCTGGAGATGTGGATTCAACTATTGTAGTAGATAAGGTCATTTTTTCTTGTCATTCTCCTGCTGTAGTCGACTGATAGAGCAAGCTTCTGATCCTATAGCTCTATCTGCCTGATAGCACTTTTGATTCACTCATGTGCTTCTTCCTCTGTTGGTATGATTATCACTCAGAAGGGTTCCAGTTTCAGAACAATCATTTCTCTATTGTCATCATGTCTTTGGTCATAGTCAGCATGTCAGCTCAGGAGATTGGCTTTCTTGTTCACTGTTCTGGCTTTGTGTTAGAGTATGAAATCATATTTGGCCAACTCAGTGACTATCATGTCTGACATTGATTCAGCTTCTGAGGGAGATGGAAATATTGGAGGTTTTAGTGGTCTGTCCAGATCTTGAATCTCTGGGTGGTGCCCATGAGATAGTGTTACCATTCAGCTAGAGCAAGCATTATAACAAGTAATTTCTTATTATAGATCTCATAATTTCACTCCATCACTGTGAGGGCCTTAGACAGGAAGGCAACCAGTCACCATTTTCTGTCTTGCTCTTATGATAGGATGGTGCTAATGGCTCCCTCACTAGAGTCTGCCTCTACATGAAATTTTCTATCTTCTGTCAGGACTGCTAAGATGACATCCTCTGCCAATTGCCTTTTCAACTCACTGAAGGTATCAGATTGAGCAATGCCTCAGATTCATGGAGCATTGCCAGTGAGTTGGGTCATTGGGTGGGTGATTTTGCTATAGTCCTTTATGAAGCAGCAGTAAAAATTAGTGAATCTGAGGAAGGATTAGAGTTCCTTCTTCTTCATCAGTTCTGGCCACTCTGTTACTCTCTGAACTTTTACTGGATCTATGTGAATACTCCCCTTACTGATAATGACTCCCAGATACTTTATCTTGAGCATCTCAAACTCACACTTTTTTGTCTTGAGGAACAACTTGTGCTTTCTTATGATCACTAGGACTTGATAGACTAAACATCAGTGCTCTTTCTTGTCCTGAAATATGATAAGAATGTTGTTGAAATAGATGATGATCTTTCTGATGGCTATGAGGTTTTTGAATATTTCATTCATCATCCACTGGAAGATCATGAGTGAATTAGTGAGTCTAAAAAACATCACTATGAGTTCAAAGAGTCTGCAATTCATCCTCAAAGCTGCTTTCCACTTGTCTCCTTCCTTGATATGGATATTATTGTACTCCCACTGCATATCAAGCTTTGAATAATACTTTATGCTATGCAATTTATCCATAAGCTCAGAGATTAGTAGTAGTGAGTACCAGTTTTTAATCATCATCTCATTGAGCTTGCAATAGTCTTGGACAGGTTGCAGTTTATCATCCTTCTTTTTGACAAAGAAGAATGGCAATGCCATGAGTGACTTGGAGGGCTGAATATATCCACTGGACAGATTCTCATTGAGAAATCTATCAAGCTCTTCTTGTTTTACTTGACTAAGGGAGTAGATCTTGCAGTCCAGATTAGTGTTTGCATTGGGAATCAGTTTGATGGCATGATCCTAAGGCTTGGAGTCTAGAAGCTTATTGAAGTTCTCCTTGTCAAAGAGATCTCAAAAGTCCCTGACCCATTTGGAAACCATTGCCTTGAATGTTTTTTTTTCTTTTTGCCAGCATTAGTGTTAGATCTGCTCAGCACATGACTAGAACATGTGATAAACTAGCACTGTATTGAGTTTGTATAGTCATGCTAGAGTCCACTTATAGTGTGATCTGGTTGAGTGCATCAAGGTCACTGACAGATTAGGCTCAAAGAGAGAAGAACAGTATAGATAAACTTTAGCTTGAAGCTAGAGTACTACAGCAAGAGCTATCCTACTTATATATATTTCTGTGAGAGATAAATATAGTTCTCTACTTGTTAGACATTTTGTTACATACATGCTACTGGT